CCAACTGCACGGGAGAAGGATAACGAACTAAACACAAAAAGCAGTTCTGAAGAAATTAGCATTCAACCGATATTTAAAAGTTTATAGCTCCAGTGGCTTTCTTATATCAGAAGGAAGAGCGTTCCAGACGGCCACAGAAGCGCATCTGAAAGGGCACAATGTGATGACCGCCTTTGTTCGCGAGTTGGCCAGAAGCCGCTGTTGCGAGGATGATGACCGGAGTTTCCATGATGCTTTATGTTTGGCCATGTTGCTGCTGCTCCATTGGCAATGGTGCACAACCACAGGGAACAAAAAGACTCAACACTTTCGTCATTAATACTGCCCTTGAATGTTAATAATTGGCGACGTTTTGGGTAATGAACCTTCTTCATAGTGCATAAATGTAGCCACTAGGTCATTCTTAGTACCGCCTGCTTCACCTTCCCAACCGATGCCATAGCTGGAGGAACCACAGCTGCTAGGGCCAGGGGGAGTTGTGGTCGTTTTGTGAAATATACGTTGCGTTCGTTTGACCATACTTCACCATGCTGGTCAGTGCAGATGGGTAGGTGAACGCCTCACCTCTCACTGAGTACCTGACTGGTATGGGCGTCCAGATGTCCAGTTAAGCTACTCGGGTCTAAAATGCATCTCCGATCAGCACGTTTGGCTACGTATGGTGCAAATGAAGTTCAAAATATATACTCTCGAGCCTCAACTAAGCAATTGTTTTTTTATTTTTTACAAGATAAAGCTCATTGAGTGTTTTTTCAGAAGCGACCTGGCTACAAATGATAGCCGAATGAAGTGACATCACGTGGAAATGTATAGCAGTCAAATACTCTAAACACATGTTTCTAAATGTGGAGGGAAAAACGGGAGGACCCGGATAAAAATCCACGCAACCACGGGGAGAAAATGCAAACTCCAACTATACAGCAGTCGTCAGGGTCAGGATCGAACCCACGACCTCGTGTGTACAAGGCGAGGTAGTTAACATCCCGCCACTGCGGCATACTCTCATGCCACCGCGTCAAGAACGTGCCTCTCCAGTCAACATGGGACGCTGTGGGCCAACGTTAGTCCAACGCTTCCAACCACGTGCAAATGTTGGCCCAATGTTGGCGCATGTTTGCTGGGTCGTTGAAGAAGACCGCGTTTATATACGGGGCATTACTGAAATAATAATAATGAGACGAAAAACAAACGCTCAACATTGCACATTTGTGGTGTGCGCAAACACAAACTGCTTACTCCCATCACGCAATAATGTGTGCTTCTCGCCGCTGCAGCACTGTATTATGTAATGTTCACTTGACAACACAAAGATCCGTTTTGAGCTTGCTCGTCAGGGGGGGGAAATCGGTGTCACGATCGCTTGAGAAGTGTTGACTTGAGAAGTGTTTGACGTGGCGAGCTGAGTGTGTTTCGGCGTGCGTGAGCAACAACAACAGCAGCAGCAGCAACCTCAGCTGCTGCGTGTCCATCGCCTTGGCCGTGTAAGAACTGAGAGCGACAAACAGCAAGAGTCTTCTTGGTCGTGCGAACGGTTGAGCTTGTTGGATTTTTTGCTCCGGTCGCCCCCGCCCGCTGCCCGCGACATTTAGAAAGATGCGTTGAGATTAATTTGGCTGCTTTACATTTCGGCGTGATAAGCCACTTCGTTGAACTATCAGTTGTTGCCAGGTCGCTTCTGAAAAAAATAACTAATAACTCAGTGGGCCTTTCCAGGTCAAATAATAATTGTGTGGTTTTGTTTATTTAATTATTTTGGTGATTTTTCTTACCTTTCACTCCTATCATTTTTGTTGTGTTTTGTTGTTGTTGGAACTTTCTCACCCGCCCCAACTGGACATCTGTGAATAAGAGCTTCATAGCTCATCGGATTCCTGCAGGTTAAATACACATTTTGATTCTGACATACATTCCTATTCGCACTGCTGGAAATAAATAAACTACATCGTGCAAATCATGCACTTGCTCTCAGCACTTATCATGGGCCATGATGAATCCACTGCTGGTTAAAAGTCTGCACAACTCTGTCGCCACCTCTCAAAGGTGCTGTGATGAACTTGTTATAAATTGTGGGTAAAGCAAACGTAAATCAATGTTACATTCTAAAATTCCTGTGACGCAAGTCGGCTCGTTGCAGATAAGTTTTAGGCTGATCGTAGGACAGTTAAATAACACAATCAGCGTTGCGGAGAATATAAATAGCGAAATGAATACGCAGAAAATGTGTGTCCTTTGCAAATTCGTCTCTCCAAATAAAAGCAATTAAATGAAACAAATATTACACAACCCAACAACCTTTTGGGAGTGCATCATATCAGCAGCATTAATTCAAGACAAGCAAAACTCTGGGCCGGTTTCGACACGGTGTCTCCACAGCAAATTAAGGGCTTGCTTGAATCAATGTTAGTGAACTGCTGATTGATGCAGGCAAGGACCCAATTACAGTTAAGTTAGACGTGACACATTCAACTCGGGAGCCTGCAGGGAGCATAGCACGAGCGAACCCAGTGTTTGTTGTTTTTCCTTGTTTGTTGATCCCGACCCTGACGCCTGTTGTATATTTGGAGCTTGCACGTTCTTCCCGTGGTCGCGTGGATTTTTTTTCTCCGAGTCCTCTGGGTTTTCCCTCCATATTTATAATCAACGTTGCGTCTATAGTATTTGGCTGCTATATATTTCAACGTAATGAGCCACTTCGTTGAGCTATAATTTGTGGCCAGGTCGCTTCTGAAAAAGAGCCTAATCGCTCAGTTGGGCCTTACCTGGTAAAATAAAAAAAAGTCTAGTTTAGTTTTTAGCACTGTTGGTCACGTACGGTGCGAATTTTTTTTTCTTCTTCCAACATACAGCGAATGGCATGAAAAACAACCATGACCACCGACCACCGCTTGCCCATGGGGCTCCGTGAACGTGCGTGCCTCGGAACACATTACCCCGAGGTTGACCCGTGTTGGTGTGGAAAACGTCGAGCCCCCGGCATTCGCGCCTTCCCATTCGTCGGTGGGATGTGACGGCGCGTATCGCTATTGGTCGGCATCGGGACCCCGGGGCGCAGCCTTGTTTGCCCTCTTCTCGGCAGGCGGGGGAGGAGTGGGTGGCGGTGGGACGCAAATGGCAAGAGGCGTGTACACGGGGCAGGGCTGGTCTCAGGACTTGTCAAGCATGGGTGGAGGAGAAAGCGAGGTGGTGTATGGAGGCGGCGGGGGGGGGATGAGCAACAGATTAGCACGGTTGGCTACGTCCGGTGCGGTATACCGGCATCCCACGTTACGTTTGTGTTCATCACAAGTCAGGCGACACTGGAGAACCTGGGCCGGAGTTTGAAGCAGTCCCTAATTAGAGCCACATGTCATCGTTGTACGTGTGTGTGTGTGTTTCATCTCCCAGTCATCTCAGTTATAACTCATAACACCTGGGTCTGTCCCGTGACCTTCCTGCCGGCAGCGAGCCATCCACGCTTCACGTGGCCTCAAAGTGCACCGAGCCTGGCACAGAGCGCGGTGGTGACATCACCATCACTTACTTCCTGTCGGTTATTGTTTGTTGTTGTTGTTGTTTTTATCGCAAGTGCTTGCGAACACAAACTTGCCCAAGAATACTATCCAAGCAGTATTGCAAATCTTTATTTGTGTATTCCATTTCTAGTGAAATTATTTTAAACAAAAAAAACCCCACAGTTTTCACATCGGTGTCTGTTCCGTTGTCCATGTTCCCATTATTCATTTCCAGTTCTCATCCTGTCTCGTGCGCAACGTACAGCATATGAGCACCGCGGACATATACATGCCATGTCGTGACCGCTTGTAAACGTGGACTTGGTGGTGTCGCCAACATCACAACTTCCAGTGTTGGGAGGGTTCGGCTCGAGCTGTCTCGTTTGGGGAAAGGGTTGGTGGTGGGTGGGGATGGTTGTGGGGTCACGTGATGTTTTTCTGGACATTCGCAAGTGTGCGTGACGTGCTGCTGCTGCTGCTGCCTCCGCTGCTGCTACCCACACAATCCGCCCGTCCAGTTGTCTTCGATTACGTGCGAGTTCAACTGTAAACACTGCCCCCCTCCCTCCCTCCCCCCCGACAATGTGAACTCAACAAAACACCGCGTCCCCCTTTCCTTATTTAGAGCTTGCGTTCTTTAATTATTTCTCAGAGTAAGAGCCCTGTATTTTTTTGCCCGTTTCAATACGGGGGAAACAAATGATTGTCTATTTGTTTGTGTGTTCTCCGTCGGGATGGGACTTTTGTAGCATGAACGTTGAGATTTGTAAGGGCACGGGGTGATCGATAAGGTCTGAATTGGTATGTAACAAGGGAGGGCACTGATACGGGGTTGACAGGTATGGAGGTACAGAAATTACAACGAAACATGTATAACATTTGAAAATAACATCTCGTCCCCGGTGGTGCAAGATTTATCGATACATATCGATTCTTACGCATCTGATACGTGCATTGAATTGTGTGTATGAGAATCTACGTATATCGATTGTGCATATTGTACATGCAGTGAAACTGAGTACTGTACACTGATCTGCACTCCGAACACCCATAAATCATATAATTTGCGGGGGTGGAAATCCTAAATTCCACAAGTTTCCGCAATTTATTTTGAGCGTTTAGCCGAGCAGTTAAATGGTCGTAAAAATACTACGAACAAAAACGTCGTAAAATCCGTGAATTTCTGTAGATTTTTCCCAACAATTTTTTTAGGCGTTAAAACCGCACACATAAATCTGGATAATATGATGACTTTGCATCCCACTTTCGAGTTACTTCTCTGACACACGCAAAAGTGTATTCCTGTTATCCACAATTCTGCGGATAATAGGAAGGTCTGCGGATCGATTCTTAAAAATATTGCTGAGATATTAATGTAAGCAGCAACATGCAATTATAATAATACAACTTTATCAGGCATTCATAGTGATGTGTCAGAATAACGTTAAGCAAGTTTCATACGGACATGTACAAATAATGTCAATATCATGCATTTGTCTTTCCCACCAGGTATGTGCAGAGCTTCATGGACATTTTGAAATATGAAGGCAAAGATCCGGAGAGTGATGTCCTTTCAGGGTAAGAAATGCACGCGCGCAGTGTACACGTTTGCTGTACTCAAGCATTACGCTTTACCAAAGTATATTTTTTATTCAGTGATCAGTTACTGTTTACAGTGACATTTATCCATTAATAACACGCTTGGTTGTGGAGCGAGCGGTGGCAAAGCAGTTAGCACACACCACTATGAACGGTGGCTAGGGGATGTTAACTACCTCGATTGGTATACAGGAGGTCTTAGGTTCGATCCAGACCCTGACACCTGCTGTATATTTGTAGTTTGCGTGTTCTCCCAATTGTTGCGTACATCTTTCTTCGGGTCCTCCAGTTCTTACCTCCACATTTAGAAACTTGCGTTTAAAGTTTTTGGCTGTTATACATTTCCAAGTGATAAGCCATTTCGTTCGGCTATTATATGTGGCCAGGTCGCTTCTGAAAAATAGCTATATAGCTCAATGTGCCTTACCTGTTAAACATAATGATAGTTTCGTTTATAGTTAAGTTTAGAACACTTGGGGTGACCCGCGTTCAATTCACGGCCACGGCTAACATCAGTGGCGAGTGATATCCGAACCGGTCATTGTGCGATCTCCCCTCCCACCCTCAACTTGACAAACCCATGTTGTTGCATCAGAGGGACGGTGAGAGTAATTGTGTTCCACTTTGGGAGGCCTTTATCTTGCAGTCGATCGATCATGGCTGACTTTGCCTTTTCGGTTTTGCACACAAAGTGCTTGCCACAAATGAACTACAATACCTTGCTGACCTCGTCACGGAACATAAATGGTCATGCAAACTCCGGTGATCCTCGCCGCAGCGGCTTTTAGCTAACCACCCAACAAAGGGGGTCACTGCATCGCGCGCTTTCACCTGGGTACGCTCTTCCTTACAATGTTAGGAAGCCACTGGAGCCGTGCGCTTTCAAATCGAGATTGAAAACTGATTTCTTCAGAACAGATTTTTTGTGTTTAGTTTGTTGTCCTTACTCCACACCTCCGATTGGCGCGTTTGGCTACGTACGGTGCGAAAGATGTTCACCATACATACGGTACGTACATTGTTGCTGTGGTGGATTTAGATTCATGGAGACGCTGGTGAACATCCGGAACCGGCACAACGACGTTGTGCCCACGGTCGCGCAGGGTGTGATCGAGTACAAAGAGACATACGGAGTGGACCCGGTGACCAGCCAGAACGTGCAGTACTTCCTCGACCGCTTCTACATGAGCCGAATATCCATCCGCATGATCATCAACCAGCACAGTAGGTGTCCTCGGTGACTCGGAGGGAGGCGGTGGGAGTGGGGCGGGGGGGGGGTGGTTGTTCATCGTGGCCGTGTCAGAGTCGCTGAGCCGGGGCACCTACGTGGTACCCAAGTGCAAACCCGCATTTAAGCTGCCCGTGCTTGCATTGTGTTGTTGTATTGTATCGTGTTGACCAATGAATACAATTGCCAAAGAGTGCCAATGTGCTCTCAACCTGCGGAGGAAAATACACCGATGAATGGACGCGTTACAGATGAGCCGGCGTGGGAAGCACCGAGCCGGCGCTGTGATTTCAACTTCCCGCGATTTAACCGGGTTCCCAGGTGTAGCGCGGTGACAGCTGCAGCTCGGCCACCATCGGCTTCACGAACCGCGTTTAGATTTTAATTGTCTCCTCACTTCCCTGTGATCGCTGTTACATTGCAATTATGGCTTTATTTTGGTGATTTCGAAAAGTTTTTTTGTGGTTTGGCCATGTTTTTGTTTGTTGTAGTAGATTGATGGCCTTAATCTTAGTTGTCTTGTGGTTGTTGTTGTTGTTTGACTTGCATCCCACTGGAATTTTTGCACACAGCGTTGGTGTACGGTGCTATTTCAGGAATATTTTGATGTTTTTTTTCCTGGATTTTCTGTTTGCACAGTCACATAGTCACTTTAAGATGTTTTCTTGTTCACGTTTTTGTTTTTTGTTTGTTGCGGTTGCACCCGATTCAAGAGCCGAATGGCTCACAGGGCTATACCAAATAAATGGAACTATGGAACTATACTGTCGCCCGGTATTATAGTCAACGTTGCTCGCATTTTTGGCACACCTTAGCCGATCGTCCCCCGGCTTGGGCGGCCCAAGATTGAGTTTATTTGCCGAGAACCAACCGAGGACGTAGCTCCACGCTTTATGGATTCCAAGCGTCACGGCGTCATTATGCGGCAAGAGAGGGGAGTTGTGCTGACAGCAATGGAAACTTTGCCACGTAAATAAAAAAAACAAAAGTCTCCTCGTCGTAGAAAAGGAACAAACAAGTTCAAAGTTCAATGTTTATAGACAGGCGCGTGGCATTCAGCCGTGGTTAAATTTGGAGCATTTCGCCGATACGATCGCCACGGAGGCGTCTGCTTTTGCCGTGACCACCTGCCGCAATTTAAAGGGACCAATGCCCTAATGGCACCGGCGGTCGCCGCCGCGGAGAGGCAATCCAAACAACCTGACTAAACGCCCGTGCCTGGAAACGGAGCGGCTGGTCTCGCTAAGTGGCGCACGCGCGGACGTTTGAACGCGCGCGCACCCATGAGCGCCTCGTCACTCCGCCTTATCGGTTCCGCGCCATTTAGCCAGAGCCCCTCGCCCCAGAGTCGGTCGTGCTCACCGACCGCGGCAGCGCTGTTCCCACTGTGTCACGTGCGCGGACCGGCCGCACCCCCTGATCCCCAGATACCGACCTTGCGGCTGCGACGCGGTTTCTCGCCCAGGCGCCGCAATCGCCGTCGGCGTCATCAGCGTCGTCGCCCTTGCGATCGTTGGTAGATTATGAGCAGCCACGTGGTCAGCGGTTACAGACGCGTGGACGCGGTGTTGATGACGGAATTCACGCGAATGGAGCGGCGGTGGCAGGGGGAGGAATGAGACGTGACTCATCACACTCAAAGTTCTCGCCACTAATGAACCGCAATACCTTGCTAATCTCGTCAAGGCGCGTAAACCATCATCACGCAAACTCCGGTCATCCACGTAGCAGCGGCTTTTTGCCTGACCATCGAACGAAGACAGTCAACCGCTTTGCACGCTTTCAGACGTGGCTTCTGCAGCCGCCTGGAATGCCCTTCGCTCCGATATTAGGAAACGACTGGGAGCTACGCACTTTTAAATCTAGATTGAAAACTCATTTCTTTATAACTGCTTTTTTGTGTTTAATTTGTCGCCCTACCCCCACAGCTCCAACTAGTATGGTTGGCTATGTACGGTGCGAAAGAAGTTCAACATACATACCAACTCACATACAGACATTGGCGCGCGTTCTGCTGTCGAGCTCTCTCCGCTGTCCCTCATCCTCCCACTTTGCCTGTTGTTCGCCCGCTGCAGCGCTGCTCTTCAACGGGAGCTTGAACCCTGCCCACCCCAAGCACATTGGCAGCATCGACCCCAACTGCAACGCCGTTGAGGTCGTCAAAGGTGGGCCTGCAGCACCAGCAATTTCCACGGGGGCATTATAGGCGCCAAGAGTGCGAGGATGCGGGTGCTGACAGTGCTGACAGGGAGTGGCGTAGCTGTTGAGTTTGCAGGCGGGGCAATTGCATCGCGGGATATACGAAGAGTGGGGTATAAATTTGACGGGCGGTGGAATTTGGCGGGCGGTGGAGGTTGGGTAGGGGGGGTTCTCATTACGTTCCTGGAACGCCTGCGCCGGGGCCTGTGCCGACCGTGCACCGACGGCGCCCTCGCTACAACCGCGAGGCCGCCGACCGGTGCGCTCGCTCGCTTCCTCGCCTCGGAGCGAGGATCGTGCGGGAGTACGCGGAGCCAACTTCTCAGCCGCAACACGCAAACGCCTGCCGCTTTGCAATGGCCCGCGAGTTGTATTAGTAATATGCTCGTCACGACAGGCATCTCGGCCTGGCCCGACAGCGGATTATATTCTGGACCTGGCAACACAGTTTCTAATTTTAACGAGCTCCGTCACTCCTGTCACTGCACAGTCCTCTTACAGCGGATAGAAGGAAACTTGAGAAGTGCGTGTGTGTTCACGTGCGGTTGCCCGCCAGAGGGATTGATGCGATTCAAACGGCACGGTAATTTACAGTTGGTGATAAAATCACACAAAAATTAAACCGTGTTCACAATCAGAAGAAATATTCTAGCACTGTCATGAATGTAATTATCTTTTTTGCCAGATGCCTTTGAAAATGCCAAGATGCTGTGTTACCAGTACTACCTGGGCTGCCCCGAACTGGAAGTGTCGCAGTTCAATAGTACGTAAGCAAACAGCACGGCCTCACGGGCACGTGACAGCTGCACTGCCACACGCGCGAACACAAAGATCTCCCCTGTAGCCTTAACACACCGTTGGGAGAAGTGCCGTTAGCAAGTAGCACCTACATATGAAGGCCTGGCATGGCACACGTGGAGAGTTGAGTGGCCAGCGCCACTCTCGGCTGCCTTTGTCTCCCCAGGGGAATATACACCACACCAAGTGCTTATTTAAGGCATGAGTTGGGAATCGGATTAGTGTCACCGGGTTAGCAGTGCAGTGCGCCAATCGCTACATTAGCGTTTCTCATGTGCGTGCATGGAGGTGCGTGTGTACACACACACATGCACAACATTCCATGTTGACTGGGTTGTATGAGGGTACGATCCGGACAGGGTACAGTCTGGATATATTGACAGTGTTTTGCAATAACAAGGCAAGTAGCACTGCATTGATTCCATAGATTAAAACTGATTCTCGTGCTCATCGTGCGTGAATGGAATGCTGCGTGCGACATCGGATTATTTGAAACGAAACTGTTTTACAGCTACTGCATTAGCTATTTTTGAGAAGCAATTTGGCCACATTAGATAGCTCAACGAAGTGGCTTACATTGTGGAAATGTATAGCAGCCAAATGCTGTAAACGCGTGTGTCTAAATGTGGAGGGAAAAACCGGAGGACTCGGAGAAAAATCCACGCGACCACGGGGAGAGAGACACGCAAACTCCAAATATACAGCAGGCGTCAGAGTCGGGATCGAGCACACGGCCACCTTGGCGACTTCTGAAAATTACATGCTAACTATAAGCTCACGTCGCACTAGTCAACAAGAAATGAGAAAGAAATGCAAACGAGGTGGGTGAAAAAAAATTAGACGGCGAACTTTGGCTTATCGATGCTCAATTGACACTGCCGTGGGGGAGGCCTGCATCCAGCAGTGGATTGGCACTTGGCTGTGAATTATTATTATTATTTACAATTAGTATTATTTAGGAGAAAGTTAAGACCACCAGCCTCGTTTTCAAGCCTGAAACCTGGGTTTAAATACGTTGAGCGAAACAGCAACAGCAAAAAAAAAAGTTTCACCGTTGACTCAAACACACCGTTCGATTCACGTCAAGCAATGCACGTTTAGGTTGCATAATACAATTCTCAAACTTTACACAGGAGTAGAATGTGCTTAACTGCGTTACGACAGTCGGTTCTCCCCTGATTGCCAATGCGGGGAAAACATTTTTGAAGTTTGTGGAGGTTGTAGTGGTGGCAAAACAACAGTTTTGGTGCCAACTATGGAAACAAACAGCCCCTCACTTGGACCCTTTGTGTGTGCATGTTCCCTGGGTCCATCACAACCAAGCTGACAACGCACAGCCATAAAACCCCGCAGATTATTCTCCATGCGGCCGCTTTGTTTGAGACTTTCCACGACGGAACTCGATGTACAACGGATATGTAAAACATTTTTTTTTTACGAATCAAATAAAATGACGCCGGGTTTCCTTGATCGGGCCGCTGTTTTATCGATCCCCCCCTCCGGGCAAATGTACGCGAGTGTTTTCTTTGCTCCCCGATTAGCCGCTGTTGACACAGCGAGCCTCACGGAAACCCAGCCTGCTTGCGGTAAATTTGACAGCGTAAATATGACTGTAATTATCACCGCGGAGCGCCTGGCAAGCAGCCTGCCACTGTGCGCATGCGCAGGGCTGTGCCGCGTGTTCGTTGAACTTCCTTCGCACCGTACATAGCCAGTCGTGCTAATCGAACGTACCGACCCGCTTCTGGATGAGGACCTTTCCCCGTATAGTACGGATTGCGGGGGTTAGTGTACCGAACTTCAGCACACTGGTCGGGAGCGTACGAGTACAGTACAATAGGTTTGTCCGCACTGCCCTATCCTGTCCACCACGTAGCCCCCGCGATCCGCCTGTGACAACCTGGTGTGCATGGTGGTCGCCCATCCCTGGCACTATCCAGGCTCAAGCCTGCTCGGCTTTTGAGCTGTCATGAGATCAGGCTCATGTCAGTGGCGAGATGGTAACCTGGTATCAGGAGGTCGTAGATTTCATCCTGACCATGACGCCTGCAGTATGTGTTCTTCCCCTGGTCGCGTAGATTTTTCTGCTGATCCTCCGGTTTTTCCCTCCACATTTAGAAACATGCGTGTCGAGTATTTGACTGCTATAAATGTCCACATGATAAGCCACTTCATTGGGCTACTATTTGTGGCCCAGGTCGCTTCTGAAAAATAACTTATACAGCTCAGTGGGCCTTACCTGGTAAAATAAACATAGTTTAGTTTCGTATTTAGATATGGTCAGAGGCGTTGCTCACGTAAACACAAAGTGTTCTGCAGTCCAGCGACCTGCCGGTCTTGCAAACCTCATGACCCACGCAGACATTGGGGAACCCTCATCCAGCAGTGGACTGACAAACGTGGGGCTGAATTTGAGAAACACAATAACTGTACATTCTATGTATTGAGTCAACTATTCCCACTTGGTGCACGGCATAAAGCAACCTCACTTTGGAGGTATGGCATCATCTGAAGAAAACCTATGCAGGGATGATGTCATTATTCGCAACAACTGGGGACTCTCACTTCGATTTTTTTCATGGTGAAAGTTAAATATAAGAAAAGGTACACAGTGTCCTATAAAGTTCAGCAGGGCACCAGAACCCTTCTTTGTTTTGTTTTATGACCCAGAATTATTTAACAGAGCGGTAATCATGGATGAGAGAGATAACCACGGTGAAAGTGTGTTCTGGCCTCACTTAAAACATTCTGTTCCTGCGAATGACAATGTGGAGCTAAACGTCAACGTCAAAATCTGCTGGCCATGACGAGTGCTTCAGGACAGAGAGAGTTGGCGTAATTTTGCTGTTTCACTTCCATTGAAGGAGCGCAGGCTACAGCGGTTTACTATACGGTCCGTAGTTTGGGTTGCATGGCCACAACCGTCGCTAATGAGCAAGGAGGAGTTGATGACGATGATGATCCAGAATGCTCCACTGGAGCGCCTGCCGAGCTCTCGTGGGGAGCAGTAGTGTAGCGGGTAGCGCGCCACGCTACAAACCCGGCAACCCGAGTTGGATTCCTGCTCACGGCCAACACCATCGACGATTCTCTGAACTGGTCCGGGGGCCTCCTCCCCTAGTTCGACCCAGCCTTAAATGAGTACCTGGCGCGGTGTGTAAACATCGCCACTCGGGAGACGAGGGCGGTCGGGCGTGGTGCTGGCCACCCATCCCCTCGTGTGCCGTGCCGTGCCTTCATAGGTGCTCGCTAACAGCACTTGCCCCAACGGTCTGTTAAAGGCTACACGTGTGATATTCTTTTACGTCTCTTGCAGTACAAGGAGCGGAGGAGGAGGTGCACATGGTCTACATCCCGTCCCACCTCTACCACGTGCTCTTTGAGCTCTTCAAGGCAAGTGTTGCCGTCCTGCTCCGTACCGGACGCTCGAGTGCCGGCTTGCCCGTGCTCGGTGCTTGCATTTCAACCGGTTTTCTGTCACAGGAAATAAATATAAGGGGGCGCCATGGTGGCGAGATGTTAATTGCCTCGCCTGGTATGCAGGAGGCCGTGGGTTCAATCCCGACCCTGACGCTTGTACATTTGGAGTCTGCATTGTCCTCCTCGTGGTCGCATGGATTGTTCTCCGGGTCCTCTTTTTTTTTCCCTCCGCATTTAGGATCAACAGCACGCGTTTAAAGTATTTCGCTAGGCCACATCCAGCATAACCTCCCGCCGAGGCGGTGGCTTTTAATTGACGTGCCACCCACTCCGGTGTCAACCAGCCGCCCGGAAAATATTCGGGAGGAGAAACTAAGCACTGCCCTCAACCGTGGCTACTCGCACGCCATGGGTGCTGGAACAAAAGCTGGGAGAGGGGGGGGGGTAGGGAGTGCAGAGCAATCCATGTGGTGTGTGCCCCCTCCGATTAGCACGATTGGCTACGTATGGTGCAAAAGTAGTTCAACATACAGTACGTACATGCAAGGAATGTATGTGTCCAACCCTTTAGTCATTACACTGCAGGATAAGAGCCTCCCTGTACCTTTGAGGGTCGTGGGGTGTTATTGGAACGTGCTTCAGCACACGCCCGGCATGCCTCATCCCAGTATACTTCTCTTCGTGGCTCTGGCTACTTCGTAACGCGCCGCCTATTCCGGCGTCTACCGGCGGCCCAGAAACCATTCGGTGAAGAAAATGAATCCCCCATTTTCGCGTTGCTTCACGCGCTCGGAGGCGCGGAAACGTTTAACCCTTCGCCCACTGCCATTCCTAACCGCGCCGGGAGAACGCGGCCCTAATTATAAAGCCGGGCGATGGGTGAGACGTGTGTGTGCGTAAGCGCGTGTTTTGCGTGCATGTGTGCCGCTGAGGCATGCGCCCGTGGTGGCAAGGTCGTGGAGGCTGCTGGCTGCTTGGCTCGCCCGGGCTCTTACGCCTTGTCAGACGATGAGTTTATTTGTTTGTGCGAGCGCCGTCTGTGCCCTTTTACGACGGCTGGGAGGGTGGCCGGGCGGGCAAGCAGGCTTGACGTCGCTGGTGCCGTTCTCGCAATCGAATACGATTTGAGTTGCGCGTAATCTCGACGGGGATTCCACGACGAAGCGGAGGGGACTCGTGCTGGACGAGAGAAATTGATCCACGAGAGCTCATTACGCATTTGATCGGAGATCGCTGTCGTGAAATGTCCGTCCCAAAGAGTCATAGGTTGAGGGACTCGAGTTTTTTGTCTTGAGATTATAGACGTGGAGTCGTGCCTTGTGCACTGCACGATGAAACTCGATGATTCCCGGCCACGGCTAACGTCAGTGGCGAGTGATATCTGAATTTATCCGCAGCCCCCCCCCGCTTCATAAAAATCAAACTGACCAGCACGTCAAAGTCGCATGGTCTATCCACTGCTGGATGAAGGTCTCCCCAAATCCACTGCCTTTTTCCCCACGGTCCTGCGATGCAGTCAATCGACGTGGCCACCGCACACGAGCAAATTTCTCTGCTCCATCTCCATGGCGGACGCTCCTCTTGGGAGCGTTTCCTCATTTGGCCGTGCGCTCCGTAATTAGTCACGACTACCGGCCTCCATCCCTTCTTCCAGCGGCGTATCCCACCCCGGAGCCTACTCACTTTTCTTAAGCCAGTGCGATGTCTCCCCATGTGTGCATGCATGTCGAACGTCTTTCGCACCGTGCGTCACCAACCGTGGCAATCGGAGGCGCGATTAGCACGGCTGGCTACGCAAACTCGCGCCCTCTGTGGTGCTCGCTTTGCCCCCTGTTCCGTCGTTGTCGCCGAGTGTGATTCCACGCGTGAGGTCTGCTCCCCGCCGTGAATTGAACGTCCCCTCCTCGCCCTCACGTCTTGTTGGACAGAACTCGATGCGGGCGACGGTGGAGCACCACGACGCCCTGGGCACTGCGTACCCGGCCATCAAAGTGATGGTCTCTCTCGGCAAGGAGGACCTCAGCATCAAGGTAACGGCGGCAACGCAATGCGTGACAGTTGCCAACACGGCGATTGCAACCTGCACGCGACCGCAACTCAACGGCCACGTTTACGGCCGCACCAACATCAACAGCCACCACCACGGCAACCACAGCGATAATAACCACAGCAACGTGAACCATCACGACAGCCACCACCACGGCAACCACAGCGATAATAACCATAGCAACGTGAACCACCACGACAGCAAGCACCACGGCAACAAGCACCATGGCAACAACAGCGATAGTAACCACAGCAACATGAATTGCAACAACAACCACGACAACAAACAACCATTACAGCAGCCACGATAACAACCCACCACCACCACGGCGACCAACACAACAGCAACAGCAGACCAACTGAGTCTGTCCCCGCGTTCCCCTTCATCACTGGTGCACTGGCACGAGGCCGAATCTGTTTAACACGTAGCATGGCTTTCGCGACCAATGTTATTCATCCAAAATGTAGGGTTTTTTTGGATTAGGTCACGTAAATATGAATTTGTCGTTAAACCCGCCACCACCCGACACAGCCAATTAAGTAAGGTTTGTCACGTAAACAGAACATGCCAATTCGTTACTCGTACAACACACCGGTGTGTGTTGTCATTTTGAATGTTATTCATAAGAAAGTATTTTTTGGGTTCGATCGCGTCAATATAAATTGTCAAGTTTGTCACGTTAAACAAAAAACCTGCCAATTCGTTACTCCTTCAGCACTAACCGGTGTGTTGGAGAGCAAACCCACGACATCTAGGCCGAGTGTGATTGGCGTCTGGGGGGGGGTCGACGCGCCGTTCCTCAAGAAGCCCCCCTCGACGCTCGGCCCCGGCGCGCCAGGCGGGTCGGCTCTGGCAGGTCGAGGTTGCAACGGGTCGAGGGTCGTCGAGGTCGTCGAGGGTCAGGCCATGACGTTTGAGGCGCGCGCGTGGCTGTGCGGGCGAGCAGGTGAGCGACCGGGGCGGCGGAGTGCCGCTGCGCAAGATCGAGCGCCTCTTCAACTACATGTATTCGACGGCGCCGCGGCCCCACATCGACACGGCGCGCGCCGCGCCCCTCGTGAGTGCCGTCCGCCACGCCACGTGCTCTGTCCTCTGCCGCTCTGGGCGGACACCCCAGCCCTGCCGTCGCCCGCGAGCCGCCGCCGCCGCCCGTTCTCGGCGCCAATCGAGATCGGAGGCGGCGGCGCCGGCGCCGGCGGCGGCGCAATTGTCGTTCGCGACCTGGTGGAACTCGCTTGAACTCCGTCGCCCCGTGTTTTCGTTAACCGTGGTCTGTCCCGCTGCCGGGTGAACGATTGCTTCCCCCTCGTCGCTCCCGCCGCCGCCTGCCAGCGGCGTCACGATAGTCGGCCATGATCGATCCACTGCTGGATGAAGGGCAGCCTAAGCCAAGGCCATCCCCTCGTATGTACGCGTGTTGAACTTACTTTGCACCGTACGTAGCCAACCGTGCTAATCAGAGGTATGGGGGAAAGACAACGAACTAAAGAACAAAAAAGTAGTTGTAAGGAAATTATCCCGCCATGTAACAATACATCTGGCTCCTACGTACGAGCTCACATCTCATTCCATCTGTCCTTTGGCTGTCACTCCGTCGACAGTCTCGACACAACGGATGTGATCGCTATCAGCGATGGTGGCGCGTCATGGCCGGGCCCGGTCAATGTGACCTTCCTCTCGAACGTTGCGTTTAACTTCTTGACGTTGTCAGCATCCGGGTTTCTCATCCACTTGTCATGGAAAGGCAACGTGCACCTCCTGTTATTCCGGGCCAGGGATTACTCGCCGAGAGACCATTCTCAGAAAGTGTTCACCTTAGCAGTAGATAGATCACGCCTGTCAATGGTTACGCTTGGAGTATTTGGCCCGCTATGAATGTCCACGCGACAGGCCACTTCGTTAAGTTATCATTTGTGATAGCCAGGTCGCTTCTGAAAAAGAGCTGTATAGCTCAGTGGGGCTTTGCCTGGTAAAAAAATAAAAAAATAGTTCGTAAACAAAAATGGCGATGATGGTGAACTAGCGACACCGACACTCCGTTAAACATGCCAACGCCACCAGGCCAACGTTGGACCGCGATCAGAACCGATGTTTACCGAGTTAGCATGGCGGGGGTGGGGAGGGAGGGGAGGTGGACAAGCGTTACCCCACCTCCCATTGTTGGCACTCGAGCTCAGTATTGGGATTACTTTAAAGGCCCTTATCAGCATTAAGCGGTAGAGGATTTATCAGATTGTTTTTAAAGCTAACATTTCAGCGGGCCAATTAAAGAGTGGGCGGGGGGGGGGGGGGCGTTGTTCGTTGGCCTTGTTGTTGTCACAGTCGGTGCCTGCTCAGCAACCGCCGATTCATCGGCGTAGGATTACAGCACACCTGTAGTGATGTGTGGGCCAAGGTTCAAGAGGTAAAGTTCTCCTGGCAGCTGTTGGCGTTTGCCTAGCACGGCACGTAAACAGGTTCTGGGGTAAACAGTATGGAAAAAAGCCCAAATGTGGGCGGCGTATGTATGCTGAACGTCTTTCACACCGTACGTAGCCAACTGTGCTAATCGGAGGTGACGATGTCGCGCCGACTTCACTGGTCAAGAACCGATCACGTGACATGCGACAGGCGCGCTGACTCTCCGCGACGTTACAAGCAACAACGGACATCACTACGAGATTATGTTCCATTCGTTTTTCACAATTTGAGATCCGATTTGTCATTCGTTTTTACTGCTTCAGTTTTTTCAGTTTTTTTTGTCCCCCTTGCATTGCCTTGTTCGTTCCATTAAGGTAATCGTGACGGCCAATCGTAATTAACGTGAACTTGTAAACAGTCCGTTCATAACCCGTGCAATTCGACACGCACGGGCTTGTGAGCGCAGGAATTCGATTTCAGTCGATGCACCATCAAACGGCCAGTGTCCAGCAGAGTGTGTGACCTCTGATTGTGGTGTGGCCGACGTCCGGTGCAGGCCGGCTTTGGCTACGGGCTGCCTATCTCGCGCCTCTACGCGCGATACTTCCAGGGTGACATCCAGCTCTACTCCATGGAGGGCTACGGCACGGACGCCGTCATCTACCTCAAGGTTTGCGACCCCCCCCCCCCCCTCCACCATCATCATCATCATAATCATCTTCATCATCGAAGCCGTGACCATCACCTTTAGGGCCATCGCCAGCATCATCACCGTCATTACCATGAGTGTCATTATTACCACCACTACCATCTTCAAAGCCACCACCATAATGTCCACGACCCCCCACCGCTACCATAACCACAACTGCTATCAATCACCAGCAATGTCACCAGAACCATCACTACCATCATCCCCATCACCAGTGCCCCCCCCCCCCGCCATTACTCCCACTACCGCTATCGCCACCACCGTCATCAACACCATCGTCGCCACTATCATCACTACCTACCATCATTATCCCCACTACCATCACGGCCGCCACCACCATCAACACCACCATTGTCGCCCCCCTCTCCCCCCACACCACCACCATGACCATTGTCCTTAGCAAATCCCTGGTGGCTGTGTTGGCGCAGGTGGCAACGGTCAACAGTGTTGCAGGCTCACTCGCTCGCCCGTTCACCTCGGCTCATGGAGCTCCCACTTTGTTTGCGTGCACCTCTGGAGAGTTTAAAGTTCGCTCAGAGTCAATGATCCAATGAATTTGCGGTTAATATGACCCCAGACTTATTAACTCAATGGAGAATTCTGCTGTGAGTGCTTTAAAGAATAATTCCGCTGCTATTAATTGAAGAATGCGAAGAAGAGTGGTACATTTGGATGCGTGTGTGTGCGTGTGTGCATGTGCACGTGTGTGCGTGCGTGATGTGTGCGCGCGTACATGTGTGTGGATATGTGTGCATGTGCACGTACGCATGTGTGCACGTGTGCGTGCGTGAGAGCGTTGTTGAAACTAGGAATAGAGCAGAGGGAGCAACACCGGGGTACAGCCCAGGCCACAGTAACCACTGCTGTTTGGTTTTCACCAATTTGTACAAAGTTTCCTTTCACCTCCTTCCCACGTTAATTTTTACAGAAAAGTATCAGTAATAAGAATCGATTACTCCGCCCTGTTCCACAGGCCCTGTCGAGCGAGTCGGTTGAGCGACTGCCGGTCTTCAACAAATCCGTATTCAAGCACTACCAGGTGAACCAGGAGGCGGACGACTGGTGCGTGCCCAGCAGCGAGCCCCGCAACCTCGCCACGTACCGCTCGTAGTCGCGAGCCGCCCGCCGATCGCGAGCCGCCCGCATGCCGCCCTGCTGCTCCTCTCTGCCACGCGTCGACGACGACCCCCTGCCTGACCCCAGCCACGGTTCTCGCTCCAGGATTGCAAGCCTGCGGATTTTCAAGCCGCGTTGGGCTCTGAGAGGGAGTCCGGTTCTGTTTTTTTTGTTTTCAACGCACAGAGAGCTGCAGTGAAGCAAAGTCGTACCCATTGGTTCGCTTCGGTAGCCCTGATGAGAGTGGTGCTATCGGTGGAGGCCCTCGCCCGCAGGCCTTAATGCCCAGTGCCGTGCCTATTCCGTCCAGAAATCCTCGGTCGCTTTTTACTTGAAATTGTCACTGACTGATGCTCCGCTTACAGATTTCCACTTCGTGTGGAATCCAGTCGGGACGCGATTGAATTCAGGGGGTTTAAAATCCAGGTACTCTTTTCCTTTTGCATGAAGGCAGCTGTGTTTTACGAACATAGGGAAGCCGAGTTCCGTCATCGGTCATGGCCAACATCAGTGGTGAGCGACGCCTTAACCGATGCTGGAGCTCCTGCCCCCCGCCTGCTCACCATCACGGGGCGACCAGCGCGGCGAAGTGCGATCAAAACGAGCGCAAGGAAGGACGTGGCGCCGAAGGGGAGCAAGCTGTCGTATGGCGATGTGGCGCTCCAGGGTGAAGTCGACGAAGCGCGCCGCTTGACACATTCGTAATAATCAGGCATTTACTTGTGCAGTGTCCATCGCGTTTTTTTTTTCAGGATTACGCGTGCATTCGCGCGACTGCTACGCGCCGCGCGGCGCTGCGCTCGAGTTATGAAACTAGTTTTATTCAGTGTGAGCGAATTGGAACTCACAAGGAGTTCCGTTGAATTGTGCCAGTAAATATATCTTCCTGTAAAATGTGACTCTCATAGTGAATGCAACCCAGACTCACCGGACAAAGGGACTAGGAGCTCCGTTGTCAAATTGACATTTCTAGCTTGACGCTGTCGTCCGCTCTAACGAGGCAGTCAGAAAGTGACGCCTGTGCTCTCAAAATGGTAAAGCTGCTGCCTGGCTCGGCACAATCGCACCCACGCTAAATGAAGCGATACGTACCGGCTTACCGGTACGTATCGTGTTCTCAGTGGAGGGATGACAAACCTACGGCTCGTGGGCTGGATGCGACCCGCTATTTCATATCGTACTGCCCGTGGCTAAAATCATCTTGGCCACACTGATTAGGTACTAGGTAATGTTAGTGCACTGCGCTGCAAATCCGGCGACTCCAGTTCAATTCCCGCTCACGGCCAACACCAGTGACGATTATCTAAACCAGTCCTGGGCCTCCCCAAGGTCGACTTAGCCTCAAATGAGTCCCTGGTGCAGTATGCAAACAATCGCCACTAGGGAGACGAAGGCGGCCGGGCGTGGTGCGGGCCACCCACCCCCTTCGTGTGCCGTGCGTGACTTTGTAGGTGCTCGCTCACAGGACTTGCCCCAAAAGTCTGTTAAGGCTATACGGGGGGTTGTTTCTATTTTGTTAATATGCGGCCGCAAAACATATTTTGAAAAAAAGGCTTCGTGGCCCGGCTCTTGCAGCTCCTGCTTGAGTGTGATGTTGCTGGGTAGCCGGCACAATGAATGAATGCCCTCAGGCTGAGAGGGCTTTGCAAGGTGCGATGTCAAGCCATGCTCTGGTTACCAAGAGACGCCGCAGAGTTAGTGACTGAACCCAGGAGGCTTGTGCATCTCTCGAGACTCGGTCGATGTCTCCTGTGAACGTGTAAACTGGACTGTTAAAGGTGTGTTTTTAATTTCAATGGTACATTTCTGCTCGAAGTGTTCCTTCCACGTTTGGGCCGCATCACCGTTTCTCGTCACTGACATGACTACGATTATCTATCCCTAAACCGCTAGGGAAGTGAGGGTGCCACTGTTTTTATCGAGGAGCAATAAGGTATTTTTGAATCTTCACTGGCTTTGGATTATTATTATTATTTTGGGACAAGCTCGGTTGCTGCCCGTGTGTGTAAACCGACCTCGTTTCAAGTGAAAACGTCGACGCTGACTGTCATCAGTTGCTAAGCGAGGCCGCGACTAAGTTTGGAGATCGGGACACCACCTGGGCTTCCCGGTGTCTTTCGACAAACTTCACACTACAGCCGCATACAAAAAATGCTTTGAAACTACATTCGAGCAATTGTTGTACGGCAGTCGTCGCAGGCAATTAGTTTGCTGCACCTTTTTTTTGTTCTGTTCGGTTACTCCGTGGCAAGGTTGGTGGCGGGCCACCCAATTAAATGAGGCACGTGCCACTTGGCACGTGACGTCACAGTGTTACTCGTACAGGATAGGCGTCATAGTGTCACCCGTACAGACAATGACGTCACAGCACCACGGGTACAGACATTGACGTCACAGCTGGAGGGGAGTTGCTAGTTGAGCCGCACTCGATGCCAGTTCCATACAAGTTGCCAAAGGCGGCTGTAGTAAATGCATTGCGAGTTAAAATTGCCGACGATAAAATTGCCCCCCTGATGTATCTGGACGTAACAGCCCGTCGCATTTGGTTGATATTTGAAATCCACGTGGCCTTCATCCAAACGTGCGTCCTTTCTCTGTGAGAAATAGCGGACGCCCCTTCGAATGGTTTCACTTGAATTTGGATTTTAAGTTTGAATTATTTGCCGCGATGCGGAGAAGTCAGATATGATGGGCAGTGGAGCGAGCGGGTAGAGTGGTCTTAGCCTCGGGTCGTCGTCTGTCGATGCCCTTTGACCCTAGACTGTCTGAACAGCAGCAGGAAAGGGGCGATCCACCGGGGGGAAAAATAAGCTGCTACATCCGTTTGAAAGATGAGAAAAGATGAGGATGTGAAGGATTCCGGATTAATGATTGGTTTTCATTGTTTGTGAAAATTTCTCGAACGTCTTGTAAGACTTCAGTGGTGCCAGTAAGTTAGAAATGGTTTTTAATTCAAAGAGGTTTTTACGTAAACATTTCATGTGCTTACATTATGCACAGGAATGTGTACTCGAATATTTTTACAGTACCCGGGTGAAAAAGAATAGTTGTTTTGTTTTAAAAAAATGCAATTAAATACAAATCTATTTTAATTTGTAAATAATAAAAATGTAATTCTAGAGTGTGAATATATATGCATGCTTCAGCGGGTGCGCTGGAACACATTTAATTTAGTACGTAATATTATTCAAACCGTGATGATATCGCAGCAACCAATGGCTCGTTATTTGCTCGGGGTGTAAGGATACCGGAGCCATAAGCTAAAGCATCAATCGTGCATGTAGCAATCGGCATGTGCTTTCGATGCTGTGCGTAATGTGCTCACCCCCTTCCAGCCACTAGATGCTGCTACATTCACGAAAATGTATTTTAAAAACATCGTCAAAATCCATAATTCAATTGAATTATGACCGAGTCGCGGTAATTCATCGCATCAACGAGGAAGGGTTGGTGGGTGAGTTGGGGGGGGGGGTGATCCGTTACATTTCTGTTGTCTTTTGGGACTTTATGCCAGTATGTTGCGATTGTTGGACTGTAGTGCTCTGACCTCTCTGTACATATGATGACATGACGTGTGTGCTTGGGGTTTTAAAACGCGTCGCTGTTCATAGGACATGCGTAACGTTCAATACCAATATAATCCTGTTATTCCTGTGTATGTGTTTGAAAACTCTCATAGCTCACCATGTGACTCGTGACATTAACGTCTTGTCCATCAATAATAAAAGCATTGTTTTTGCACCCACTTGGCATTCTTTTCACATTTACACAGGGCAGTGATGGGCGTCGTGAGTGTTGAGCTGTGGCCTTAGGTACGTTGAACTTATTTAATACCGTACATGGACATCCGTGCTAATCAAAGGTGCGGGGGAAAGCACAACAAACTAAACACAAAAAGCAGTTCTAAATAAATAAATATAAATCTAGACTTTAAAGTGGCTTCCTAATATTGGAAGAGCGTTCCAGACGGCCGCAGAAGTGCATATGAAAGCGCACGATGTGGTGGCCGTCTTTGTTCGATGGTGAGCCAAAGAGCGATGCTGCGAGGATGATAACCGCAGTTTGCGTGATGGTTTATCCGCCCATACGTGGACTGTGCAACTGCATCGGGGTCGTGCTAGGAAGATGGATGTGGGGAAATATTTGTCCGTGGGCCCAGATTTAATTCCATGCGCCCAGGGCCCATGCCCAACCACACACTACACCAATGGGGCTCCGTGTGTGCAGTAATAGATGGTGCGTGTGCCTGTTTTTGAGGCTGGAGTTGGGGGAGGGGGACTGGAGCAGAGTCCGACCTTGCGTTGGCCGCCCAATGCTGAGGGTCGCCGCGTTCGCGTTGACCCGGGCGATCACCCGAGGTCACCCGAGCAGTGAACAACAACACTGAAAAGTGTCTGCACTGTGGAGAGGGGGCCTGGCGATACGCCGGAGTTTGTTTTGTGGGTTAGAGACACGTTCATTGGGAGGGCTAAACACGAGTGTCTGATTGCCTGGTCAACTAGGGTCAGTGAGGTGGATAGTTCCAGAGACTGGTGGGTTAGGGCCAGTGCAAGAGTTGGTGGGCGTGACCGGTTGGCTAGTTGGTTAGGGTTATAGCATTGGGGCTCGAATTTAGACGGCTAAAAAGCTGCCAAAACTGCCTGCCCCACTTGCCATTGCAACTCAGTGCCTTGGGAATTTTTTTTACCCAAGCTAACATTAAATTTACGTTGCTCACATCGACTCGTCACGGCGGCGTCGCTACCGAGCACGCAGGCGGTGCAACAGCACCGGACCCACGGATTGGAGGGGCCCAGGCGCCGGGTTACGAAGAGGAGGTAAATTGGACATGGGTGGTAGAGGGGGTTACCATTGCATACCTTGCACCAGGACCCGCGGCCAAGCACGCTACGCCACTGACTCAGCGCTTTTATCCGCAATAATGCCAGACCATTCTTTCATTCCGACCGCGTGCTCGCCCTCAGCAGGGGGGTCTCCTTGATTGTGCAACTGGGTCCGTGGCAAAATGACAGAACTTCTTTGCGTCGCACGGGCTATGTGTGCAGAGCAACGTGACGAGATGGGAGCCCCACTTGCCAGGGGCGTAGAAGCGTGGTTGGCATGGGCCCTGCTGCAAAGGATCAAATGTCAGAAAACAGAATCTTTATTTAGACTGCAGGAGGAGGAATTCGATGAGCTATGATGCTCTTTTTCCCCCACAGATGTCCAGTGTGGGCACGGAGGTCAGCAAGTTACGACAGCAAACAATAATGACAAAAACGATAGGACTGCAAAATAAATTAAATGGTGAAACAAGTCACTAAATATATAAATGTCCTACCCCCACTCCCCTCGGAATAGGCCCGTGCCTGGGTCCCGGTGCAGCTACACTCCCTGCACCCTCGATGGCTATGCCCACTGTCAGCAACCTCAGCTGTCCCAGATGCCCCTGAGCGACTCTCATTC